AGATATGAACAAGATACAGACAGAGGTATAGGAGAAATTGAATTTTCAGGAGCGAAATCCTGACGCTAAAGTCATACGGGGGACAAACAGTACGTGAAGTAGACGAAGAGACGACCCGGCGTCGGAGAACTGCCACTGCGGCCGCAGCCGCGGACTTCGGACGCGCCGCTCCCCGCCGCGACCGCTGCGGAAGCCCGGGACCTCAGCGGCTGCAGTGCGGGCGTGAGGTTGAGCAAGCAGCAACGGCTGTCCCCAAAGTAGACGCCGTGAGCGCCGGAGGCATCGCGAGGGGCGAGCAGGCCTGTCACCTCGGGTCCTCTCGGGTAATCTCGGGTCCTCTCGGCTCCTCTCGGGTCCTCTCGGGTCCTCTCGGGTCCTCTGAGGTAATCTCGGGTGCTCTCGGGTGATCTCGGGTACTCTCGGGTACTCTCGGGTCCTCTGAGGTAATCTCGGGTGCTCTCGGGGGCTCTCGGGTGCTCCCGGGTGATCTCGGGTGATCTCGGAGGCAATCGCGAGGGGCGAGCAGGCCCGACGCTGCGAAGCCGGCGTGCAGAGCCCCAGACGCCTCCCGCACCACAACAACGACTCCGCCGCGGTACAAGTGCACCTACCGGCATAGCTCCAGGGAGGTGCCTTGCCAGCTCCAAAGACGTTCCAGACGGCGCCGCGGCAGAGCTGCGCAGTCTGACCCTAACCCTTACCCTTACCCTAACCCTTCCCCTACCCCTACCCCTAGCCCTTACCCTTCCCCTACCCCTACCCCTTACCCTTCCCCTACCCCTACCCCTTCCCCTACCCCTACCCCTACCCCTAACCCAACCCTAACCTGCGCGGCAGAGCTGCGCGCCTTCTCGGCGAGCGTGTGCTGTAATCTCGGCCAATCTCGGGCAATCTCGGGCAATCTCGGCTAATCTCGGGCAATCTCGCACCCGCTCAGCGAGCGTGTGCAGCGACCGGCCGTGGCAGCTGCTCGAGAAGAGGAGCGACCTGTTCACGGCCGGAGCTGTGAAGAGAGGGGGAGCGCAGCGAGGCGGCGGCAGCTGCTCGAGAAGAGGAGGGCGCCAGCCGGAGCCGGAGCTCGGCCGAGGCATGTCGAGGGACAGCGAGACCAGCCACCGCCACTCGCGGCTCAGAACCACCTGCTCCGCCTGCGGGAAGGGTCCGAGAAGGCTCCGCGAGGCTCCACCGCCGTCACCGCGCGCGCAGAAGCAAGTTGCTCGCCGCCGCCGCAGCCGCCTCTCCCTCCGCCTCCCCGCCCGCCTCGGTTGCAATCCCTTCCTCCTCCTCCGCCTCCTCCGCCTCCTCCTCCTCCTCCTCCGCCTCCGCCTCAGCCGCCGCCTCCGCCGCCGCCGCCCTCGCCGCCGATGCCTCCGCCGCCTCCTCCGCCTCCGCCCCACCTCGGACGGCCAAAGAGGAGCGCAGCCAAGCGCGAAGCGTCTCCGGCGCCAGCGAGAGCAACTGCGTCAGGCTCGGAGACCCCCCGCCCTGCTCCCGCTCCCGCGCCTCGGCCGCCTCGCGCGCTACCGCCACCTGGCCACACGCGGGCGGCATGAGCGGCAGCTCTCGGCTGCAGCGGCGGCCTCGCGGGTGACTGCCACCGCGTGGGCCGAGGCGAACCAGTGCACCACGCGCCTGTTGACGATTGATGATGACTGAACCGCTATGCAGCCTCCCCTAGAGGGGCGAGGCAATGGACCACCGCGCGCCTAGGAAGTCGACAGCTGACGGCGTGCTACTCGCAGCTAAGAGGCTCTGAGCTGGGAGGAGAGCACCGTGCCACCACAGGGGCCGAGAGGCCGTACTGTCGTCTCGAGGGCTGTGGAGGGTGGGGGATGCACCGGACCATCTAGCACCTCTCGCCGCGCCACAACGCTGGAGAGGCGAGGCAGGTACCGCGCGCTCCACCGGCTAAACGAGCCCCCTAACCGGCTCAGGAATGCCACATCAGTCCCCTAAACCAGCTGACGAGCACCGCACCCTCGGCGGAGGCAAGAGCCTCCGGCGCCGACCGAGACCGCCGCGTGCACGAAGGCGGGCGGGAGGGGGCGAGGTGCGCTGTCTGACGGCGGGTCGCCTCCGCCGCCGTCGTCCAGCTCGAAGGCGGCGGCCTAGAGTGTTCCGCGCTGTCGAATCAGATGACTACTGATGTAGAGCGCCGTCCAGCCCAAAGGCGGCCGCCAGGAGGCGAGGCACGTTCGCACGGGTGGCCGGCTCGCCCGGCCCGAGCGTCCGCCACAGCGCCTCTGCTCGCTCCGCGTCGCTCCCTCCAATGCACTCGTCGACCGCCCGCAGAAACGCAGTGGCAGGGACTGAGCCCGCGGCCTCGCTGCTCGCAGCGGCGACCACCGTGGCCCACCACCGGTCCGCCACCCCCTCAAGTCGGCTGCGAGTGCTATCGCACTCCTCGACCCACATCGCTGCAAGGTGGGCGTCGAAGCACTTCCTGTTGACGGACTGCTCTCCAAAGGCGAGCCGCGCTACGGTTCGTGCGAGGGACCGGAGGCGCTGACGGTCGCGCTCATCCATGCCGTTGACGAGTGAGGCGCGGCTCATTGGCCCGGGTCACGTTGCTGGCGTCGGCGATCGTCAGCAAAGCAAGAGTTGCTGCGGAGACACATAGCGCTTTGGTGTCCAGTCCGAGCCTAGCTGTTCTTCACCTTTCTACCTACCTACCTACCCGTGTTATGGCCCTGCGACCGCGCACCCCCGGGGCTAGGGCTCTCTAGACACACACTCTAGCCCGTAACCCGACCGATGCCGAGCGTCCGCTGCCTACTCGAGTAGGCCACGGAGAGGATTTGTCGGACCAGCTGCTGCCCAAGAAGATCGAGGCGTGGGCGAGCCGGCCGCCCACGCCTGCTTCCTCTGACGGAGAGGACAACAGCGACGGAGAGGACAGCGATTGGGACGAGTAAGCAAGGCGGGCAGCGGAGGATGAGCTGAGGGAGGGTGTAGAGGATGTAGAGTGTAGAGCGCTGTAGAGCTGTAGAGATGTAGAGCGCTCTGGAGCGCTGTAGAGCTGTAGAGCTCTACATCGGGCACGGGACGAACTGCGTGCGTTGTAGAGCGATGTAGAGCGCGATTTTGTTGTAGAGTTTGTTGTAGAGGCTCTACAGCCAACCCGCCGGGAAGGCAGTGACTCAAAGAGGTCGAGTCGCACTAATGGGGTGTCTCCGAGCTTGCTGGAGCTCTAATGGACGGCCTTGACTATCACTGATACACAGAGAGTCACTCTGACGGCACACAACACCCCATAACTGCGTCATCACCAGCCTGCCATGCGTCGCCGGTGCCGCATTCGTCGCTGTGCTTCAGGTGGTGGACTGTCGGCTGCGAGGACGGTCGCATTTGCGCGAGGCGAGGCGAGCATTCAGACGCGTTGTCTGCGCCATGACTCGCGCCAGCGCGCGCGTGCGGGAGCTCCTGGCTGAGCGTTGAGTCCAGGCGAGTTGCGCTGGCCACTATCGCTACGCCGAGCCGAGCTGACGCGCCGAGGCGCCGGCCAGTCGCAGCCGTGAGGCATGCCACAGCAGCAGAGGTACCTCCCACCCATTGGGCGGGCAGACAGAAGGCCAGGGCAGCACTGGCGAGTGCAACGCGCCTCATGTCGGAGAGCGACCGTGCCTCGTTCGCCGCTTTTGATGTAGAGTTTGTTGTAGAGATTTCACGTTGTAGAGCGCCTCTACATCGCTCTACAACGCACGCAGTTCGTCCCGCGGCGGATGTAGAGCTCTACAGCTCTACAGCGCTCTACAGCGCTCCAGAGCGCTCTACATCTCTACAGCTCTACAGCGCTCTACATCCTCTACACCCTCCCTCAGAGGATGAGCGAGTAGTAAAGCTCCAGCGCGGTGACTGAGTGAGAGTTCGCGCGCCGGGTTCCTGGATGTGCTGACGTAATGACATGTTTGGAAGGCACCTCGATGATTTCTTTTTCTCGCCAAAATGGAGCCGGGGAGCAGCGGTGCTGGTACGAGCGCTGCTGCTGAGGGCGGCGAGGGGGCGGTGACTGGCGGCGAGGGCTGCAGTGGCACGCGCACCCCAGAGGCGGAGAGCGGCGCCCGCGAGGCGCGGGCCGCAGTTGTTCCTGGCGGAGGTGGACCCGCTGTGTCTGTTGACACATCGGATTCCACGCCGCCGGCGGAGGAGGGACTTGGGCGCACGGTGCTGTCGGCTGGCAGTTCTGGCCCGCCTTCTGGTCTTGGAGATGTACACGTTCACGCGACTGTCGGAGGTAAATCGCCCGAGCTCGTCTCGGGCGTGGCCGGCACTCCGTTCTTTTATTCCCAGGTGAGCAGTGCAATCCAGGATCAGGTGGCGGGCGGGGCGGCTGTCAGGACGCCAGCGGAGGCGGCGGTCGAGCGGGCGGGCGTGAGGACCGGGCGAGGCGGCGGCGGCGGGCGAGGCGCCAGGCGGGATGGCTGCTGGCGCAAGTGCGCATGGGGGAGACGGCGGCGCGGGTGGCGAGCGCTCGCGCAGAATGATCATGGGGGGGGGCGGAGTCGATTGCGGCTTTGGGGAGGGTCCGGCGGGGAGGGCGGGGTGGGTCGGGACGGGGTGGGGCTTTGGGGAGGGGTCCGGGGTGGGGTGGGGTGGGGCGGGTGTCGGAGGAGGGGATTTCGGACGCCGGCTCTTGTGGCGAGGACGATGGCTTCTAAGGAAGCCGTCGTCTGCGCCTTGTCTGTCGTGTGAATCGTGCGTGTGCGAGAGCCTTTGGTTGTGAAATTCTTTTTGGAGGTAAATCGCCCGAGCTCGTCTCGGGCGTGGCCGGCACTCCGTTCTTTTATTCCCAGGTGAGTGCAATCCAGGATCAGGTGGCGGGCGGGGCAGCTGTCAGGACGCCAGCGGAGGCGGCGGTCGAGCGGGCGGGCGTGAGGACCGGGCGAGGCGGCGGGCGGCGGGCGAGGCGCCAGGCGGGACGGCTGCTGGCGCAAGTGCGCATGGGGGAGACGGCGGCGCGGGTGGCGAGCGCACGCGCAGATGGGGGGATCGGGAGGGGGGCGGAGTCGATTGCGGCTTTGGGGAGGGTCCGGCGGGGAGGGCGGGGTGGGTCGGGACGGGGTGGGGCTTTGGGGGAGGGGTCCGGGGTGGGGTGGGGTGGGGCGGGTGTCGGAGGAGGGGATTTCGGACGCCGGCTCTTGTGGCGAGGACGATGGCTTCTAAGGAAGCCGTCGTCTGCGCCTTGTCTGTCGTGTGAATCGTGCGTGTGCGAGAGCCTTTCGTTGTGAAATTCTTTTTGGAGCACTTTTTCTCGCGATGTCCACCCCGCCGCGCCGCCGCTCGTGCCGCCTCGCCTCCGCCTCCACCGCCTCCACCGCCGCCCCCTCGCCCGACACGCCGCCGCCCGCCCGCCTCCTCGACCTCCCAACGGACCTCCTCTTGCGCGCCCTCTCTCGCTGCGACCCCGTCGACATCGCTCGCGTCGCGGCCGTCTCGCTCCTCTTTCACGCCTCGCTCGCGGTGGAGGCCATCCGCTTGTGGGCGCAAGAGCGCGGCTTCGAGCTGCCGGCGCAGCCAGAGGGCGAGGGCTGTGCCGTGCGGTGGCTGTGCTGTTCGGCGTTGCTGTGGGAGTCCAACCCGCCGGCGAGGTTGGCAGCAGGCTATACGCACAGCATCTTCATCGACGGCGAGGGGCGGCTCTCGTCGTGCGGCTCAGAGCGAGTCGACTTGGTAAACTCATCAGGGCTCCTCGGTCACGGCGAGGGCGTGACGCGAATGACAACGCCGACTCGCCTCCCGACGCTGGGTGAGCGTGCCGTGAGCGTGGCAGCTGGCGCCGCGCACAACCTCACCCTCGCCGCCGACGGCAGTGTCTGGAGCTGGGGCTGGGGAGCCCATGGCCGGTTGGGCCACGGCGACAATCAGAACCAGTGGCAGCCGAAGAAGGTCGAGGCCTTGTCTGCCCAGCGCGTCGTCGCCGTGTCGGCGGGAAGCGGCCACAGCCTCGCCCTCGCCGCCGACGGCAGTGTCTGGAGCTGCGGCTTTGGAAACTTTGGCAGCCTCGGCCACGGCAACTTCGAGAACCAGCTGCTGCCGAAGATGGTAGAGTCCTTGGTTGGCCAGCGTGTCGTCGCTGTGTCGGCAGGAGGCAGCCACAACCTCGCTATCACCGCCGACGGCGCCGTCTGGAGCTGGGGCTCAGGAAGCTTTGGCAAGCTGGGCCACGGCGACGTGCAGGCCCAGCTGCTGCCCAAGGAGGTCGAGGCCTTTGCTGGCCAGCGCGTCGTCGCTGTGTCGGCTGGAGACGCGCACAGCCTCGCCATTTCTGCCGACGGCGTCGTTTGGAGCTGGGGCTTTGGAGGCTTAGGCAAGCTGGGCCACGGCGACCAGCAGCGTCAGCTGCTGCCCAAGAAGATCGAGGCCTTTGCTGGCCAGCGCGTCGTCGCTGTCTCGGCAGCAGCCAGCCACAGCCTCGCCACCACTGCCGACGGCGCCGCCTGGAGCTGGGGCTATGGAGGGCGAGGCAAGCTGGGCCACGGCGACGAATATGGTGAGCTGCTGCCCAAGAAGATCGAGGCCTTTGCTGGCCAGCATGTCATCACCGTGTCGGCGGGAAGCAACCACAGCCTCGCCCTCGCCGCCGAAAACGCTGTGTTCACCTGGGGCGAGGGCGAGTACGGCTGCCTAGGCCACGGAGAGGACTTGTCGAACCAGCTGCTGCCCAAGAAGATCGAGGCGTGGGCGAGCCGGCCGCCCACGCCTGCTTCCTCTGACGGAGAGGACAACAGCGGCGGAGAGGACAGCGATTTGGACGAGTAGGAAGCAAGGTGGGCAGCGGAGGATGAGCGAGTAGTAAAGCTCCAGCGCGGTGACTGAGTGAGAGTTTTGACTCGAAGTTCACGGACTTGCTCTTTGAGAATGAGTACTGCCGCGCGTGGGATTTTTATCTGCCGCCCGGCGGCGGAGACGCGGGAGAGCCCCACCACCACGTCCTCGACTACGCCTTTGTATACGTTGCCAAGGGGCGGCTGCTCGGCGCCCGCAGCACCGACGGCGCGGCCGGCCTAGTCAGGGAATGGCGTCTGCTTCACGCATGTAGCTGTGGACAGGCTCGCACCACGACGGCTCGCCCAGCCTCTTCGACTCGGTCAACGAGGATGGCGACGTGAGCTGGTTCGACATCCCCGACGGCGCGGGCCTTTGCCCACGGCGGCGTCAACGGGTACGATGACCTGCCGATGAGAGAGTACCTCGTCGAGCTCAAGTAAGGGGGTTGGGGTCTTATTGAGTGTCGCCGGTAAAAGTCTAAGAAAAGAAAACCAAGGAGAAAGAAAAATCTCGCGGGCGCCGCCCGCTCTACGGTACCCCGATAGCCACCCATCATGGCCTCCCACCGCATCGGCGCGCGCGTCGCGGGCCTCTCGCCAGAGCAACTGTGCGCCATCATCGAGGCGCAGGCGGGCGCGAGCGACGCCGCGCTGCGCGTGGCGGAGGAGCACGCCGCTCGGCTCGTGGAGCAGCCCGAGTGGATCGTCTCCGAGGTCCTCCTCTCGCCGGACCTCGCCCCGCACATCCTCGCCCAGCTGCCGACCAAGGCGCACGCCGCCAAGGCGACGTGCCGCGCGTGGCGCCGCGGCTGGAAGGAGACGCTGAAGAAGCGCGAGAGGCCGCGCCTGGCCGTGTTCGGCGGCCGCAACGACGCTGGTGAGCTCCTCAGCTCGGTGGAGCGGTACGACCCGTCAACGAATGAGTGGGAGGGGGAGGCTGTCGCGCCAATGCCGACGGCACGAAATGCCGGCATGGCGGTGCTCGATGGCAAGCTCTACGCGTCGGGCGGCCAAGTTGTGGTATACGATGGCGAGGACGACGAGGAGGACGTCGCAACTTCCAATGGTGGAGCGGTACGACTTTGCTACGGATGTGTGGGAGGAGGTGGCGCCGATGACAACGCCACGCGAGGATCACGCCGTGGCGGTACTCGACGGCAAGCTGTACGCCGTGGGAGGCGAGAACGAAGACGACGGCATCCTCAGCTCGGTCGAGCGGTACGATCCCGCGACGAACGCGTGGGAGGCGGTGGCGCCGATGGCGACGGAGCGAGAGTCACACGGTGTGGCGGTGCTCGACGGCAAGCTGTACGCCGTGGGAGGCTTCAACGCCGGTGGCTCCCTCAGCTCGGTGGAGCGGTACGACCCGGCGACGAACGCGTGGGAGGCGGTGGCGCCGATGACGACAGCGCGGGAGGCTCACGCCGTGGCGGTGCTCGACGGCAAGCTGTACGCTGTGGGTGGCAGCGCGGGCAACGGCCACCTCAGCTCGGTGGAGCGGTACGACCCGGCGACGAACGCGTGGGAGGCGGTGGCGCCGATGGCGGAGGAGCGGTTTATTCACGGCGCGGCGGTGCTCGACGGCAGGCTGTATGCGGTGGGCGGACAGGATGTCGGCTACAACGCCCTCAGCTCGGTCGAGCGGTACGGCTTGGGTACGAATGCGTGGGAGGCAGTGGCTCCGATGGTGACGGCGCGCCTCTTTTTTGGCGTGGCCTCGCTGAGGGGTTAAAGAACTAACTGGCCCTCTGTCTCTTGGCGACTCTCTTAACGTAGCCGTATAGTGTAACAAGGTAAGGTAAAAAAACTGTTCAGTTTTCAAAGGCGAAAACGCCGGCGTACGCCGTCCCCTCACAGTGATTTCCGTTCCCACCGTTCAGCGTGAGCAACGGCCTTCCGAATCGATGGCCCAATCGTGGCCGGTCCCGCTATGGATATGCCCAACCCACAAAATGAATACGCATCGCCTTATGCTCTGGTTTCGGGTGCGTAACCTGGTGCGTAGACAGGCGCAGTTATCAAAATACAGCAGATATGAAGGCCGGCCCTCACCCCGGACCTGCTCACAGCGCATATTTTCCTTCGAAAACAGCACAGAATACTTCAATGTTGGCCCTGCCCCGCACTTACGCAGCATAATTTTACCAATTCAGGCCCATCGACGACCGCGTTACGCATGACGTATCATGTATCCGCATACGTACCCCCTCCTGGCGCCACAGCCTGGAGGCGCTGACGTACTACGTATACGCATTATGTTTCTGCACTCGCCAAAACGCCCGCGAGACGATTGCCTGGCCAATGATTTCAGGCTCCCGCGCTGCCTTGCTAATCGAATCCCAATTGTTAAACTCGCGAAATTCTACGTGCGTCCGCTGCATGATGGCCCCGCCTCGGACCGCGTCGTCAGAGGGCGTTATGCTGATCCCAGCCATCGCCAAGAACAGCACGACTGGCTACAAGAACGTGTCCTACATCCGCGGCAAAAAGAAGTTCAAGGCGGATGTGAGAGATGGCGGCAAGCATGTCCACCTCGGCTACTTCAACACCGCCGATGAGGCGGCCACCGCTTACGCTCGGTCAGAGTACGGCCGCGCCGACGCCGCCAAGCTGCTGCAGCCCCGCCCCGCTGCCACTCCTGCTGGCGCCGAGGCGATACGGCAGGTGGAGAGGGAGGGCCTCGCCCTCACCGCCAGTAGCAGCAGCAACACCGGCTACAAAGGCGTCCGCCACTGCCCGAAGCAGCGAGGCAGCAAGAAGTACAATCTGGAGGTGAGGACTGGTGGCAAGATGGTCACCCTCGGCTGCTTCGCCACCGCCGAGGAGGCGGCGCTCTTCTATGCCCGCAGGGAGGCGGGCAAGGACACGCTAGCCAGCGATCTCACTGCGCCGCCGCTGCCGCCGCCGCCGTCCTCGACCTCTGCGGAGCTGCCAGTGTACGAGCTCAGCATTCTGACGCCTGAGCAAATGCGAAATGGCCGCCAACCCGACATATAGTCCATCGTCCAATTTGGACTATAGTCGAGCGCGTCGGAGAGGTGTTTGGAGACAGGCTCATGATTATGCAGCAGCCCTAGCACTTGGAGCACTAGCGGCAGCGCCAACTTATGGCAGCCCTAGCGGCAGCGCCAGAGTGCGCGTACATAAAGGGGGGGGTGGGGGGGTTAGGGGGTGGCTGTCGAGGGCTATGCCCGAGTCTGTTGTTACCAGCGCACATACAATCCTAGCCAGCTTATGGCAGCCCTAGCGGCAGCGCCAATTTATGGCAGCTCCCTAGCGGCAGCGCGAAGTTAGGGTTAGGGGTTAGGGTTAGGGGGGGGTAGGTGGTTAGGGGTTAGGGGTTAGGGGTTAGGGGTTAGGGGTTAGGGGTTAGGGGTTAGGGGTTAGGGGTTAGGGGTTAGGGGTTAGGGGTTAGTGGTTAGGTGGGCGGATGCGTCAGACGTATGCGTAATACGTGAGGCGTAACCCTTGCTGGCCGCCACTTCTCAGTCAAATCCGTCGTGCGTGTGCGTAATACGTGGGACGTAAGCTCCCCCCGACACCCATGGCGAGCGATGCATCAGACGTATGCGTAATACATGAGGCGTAGCCCTTGCTGGCCGCCACTTCTCAGTCATATCCGTCGTGCGTGTGCGTAATACGTGGGACGTAAGCTCCCCCCGGACACCCATGGCGAGCGATGCATCAGACGTGTGCGTAATACATGAGACGTAACCCCCTCTCCGCCGCCGTTCACGGTCGAGAGCGTAGTGCATGTGCGTAATGCGTCGGTCATAGGCCCACCCAGCCCCGATTTACGATCCCACTGCGTAAGACGTGTGCGTAATACACCGTGCGTAGCGCCCCGAGAGAGCCTCTCTGGCAAAGCTTACATAAAACAGATGCGTGGTGCGTGGTGCGTAGCGGCCAGAAGGTCGGTTGTAACGATCGGTGCAGAAGACGTGCGCATGCGACGTCCTACGAACCGTGGGCATGGATGTGCATAAGGTGGCCAACAATTGCATTAGTGGCTCTTACATATCCATAGCGGGACCGGCCACCTCCCCGATGGCCTTGCTTCAGCATCCCGCTGCGTGACTGTGCTGTCTCAGGTTCGCCATTCCACCCGTGTCTGTCTCAGGTGGTGCGAATGGACTTGGGCGCTTTTCAAGCTCGCTCGAAGCAGTGGCGTGAACTGACTGGCGACGATGGCGCGTACAGAGACACTGAACTCATAGGCTATGGCGAGTTTGGTGGTAGCTCGTCAACGGGCACATCCCAGTTTTCGCCGACGTTGGTGCGTCAGCCAGGGTCGAACCGCAGCCGTTCCCCTTCCACACACAGCCCCGGGTCTGCCTCCTCTCCGCCATCCGCCGTCTCCGCCAATGCCGCTCCCGCCGTTCGTGCCGTTCCCCGTCATCGCGCCGTCCATGGGCATCCATGCGGCCGTCCGTCACCGTCTCCGCCACACCTCTCATAGCAGTGCACCATATCCAATCTCCCGCCTTCCTCTCACTGAGTATCTGATACCCATCGTACGGGGGCACTCGGCAGGTGGCGCGGAGTGCCCCCGTCCACTCGGCGGGATCGCAGCTGCCTCTGTCTGCGCGTCCTGGAGATGTACCAAATTGTCGCCGCCGGAGACGACTCGACGCCGCTGAGATCGGAGATCAAGCTCTGACAGGTCGCACGTCGCTCCTTTGATGCCGACGTGACTCACCCGTGCAGATCGCATCAGGACACGGTCTCGACGCGCTCGGTACGACGCCTGCGACCCGTCTCGGGTCAGGTGGCACGACGCTCATCGCGCCTACCAGCGCTGCCGTACAGGTTGCCACGACGAGGTCGAGCACGCTTCTATACGCTCGCCGAGCCTTCCTTTCGCTCCCATTAGGCAGCCTGGGAATGGTGGCGGTCAGAGGCAAAGCCTACGAGGGGTGGTGGAACCACATGTCACGGCTACTGCCGGCTCGACCCACGATAGCCTCCGAAGGCTGACTTTGCGGCACCATCATCGGACGATGTCGACGAGTTAGGTCGCTCTCGCGGTAGCCAGATGACCTCTCATACTAGGAGCATGGCCGACGTTTTTTGATCTCTGGGTCAGTGGGGGGCCGAGCCACCTCGGGGTGGCGGGCGGGCGGGCGTTTTGAAAAACAGAAAACAGAAAACAGAGGGGGGCCAGGGCCCCCACTACGATTAGACACAAGCACCTGGCTCCTGGGACAAAGCGAGCAGCAGCAGCAAGCAGTCAGCGGAGAAGGGGGGGGGGGACCGGGGGGGGGGGTGGGGCGGGGGGGGGGGAAGGGGGGGGGGGGGGGGGGGGCGGGGGGGGGGGGGGACGGGGGGGGGGGGGGGGGGGTGGGGGGGGTGGGGGGGGGGGGGGGGGGGGGGGGGGGGGGGGGGGGGGGGGGGGGGGGGGGGGGGGGCGGTGGGGGGGGGGGGGGGGGGGGGGGGGGGGGGAAGTGGGGGGGGGGTGGTTGCAGGGCGGGGGGGGGGGGGGGGGGGGGGGGGGGGGGGGGGGGGGGGGGGGGGGGGGGGGCGGGGGGGGGGGGGGGTGGGGGGGGGGGGGGGGGGGGGCGGTGGTGGGGGGGGGGGGGGGGGGGGAGGGCGGGGGGGGGGGCGGGGGGGGGGGGGGGCGGCTGGGGGGAAGGGGGGGGGGAAAGGGGGAGGTAGGGGGGGGGTGGGGGGGGGGGGGGGGGTCGGGGGAGAGGGGGGGGGGGGGAGGGGGGGGGGGCGGGGGGGGGGGGGGGGGGGGGGTTGGGTGGGGGGGGGGGGGGCGGGGGAGGGGGGGGGGGGGGGGGGGGGGGGGGGGGGGGGGGGGGGGGGTGGGTAGAGGGGAGGGGGGGGGGGTAGCGGGGGGGTAGCGGGGTGGAGGGGGGGGCTGGGGTGGGGTTGGGTGTGGGGGGGGGGGGAGGGCGGGGGGGGGTGGAGGGGGGGGGGGACGCGGGGGGGGAGGTATGTGGGGGGGGGGAGGGGGGGGTGTAAGGGATAGGTGATGGTGGCGCCTTATTCCAACTTCTTCTTCTCGATGGGAGGGGAGGGGAGGGGAGGGCGCGCCTGCTCAAACTCGATCGTCAGCTGCGCCGCGCCCTTGCGCTCCTGCGCCTCGCGCGCGTCTTCCTCGCGCTCCTTGCGCAGCATCTGGTAGGCCTGCCCAAACACGCCCTGCCCCCACCCCTTCTGCAGCTTCTCCGCCTCCGCCTGCACCTCGTGCACCTGCGGACGGGTCGGGTGGCTGGGTCGGTGTGGCCGGGTCGGGGTGGCCGGGCGTTGCTGCGGGCGGGCGTCGTGGGTGGGTCCGGTGGCCCTAGGGTGTGTGGTGGGTGTAAGCCCGGTGTGCCAGAGGCGGACTGGGGTGCTGTCCTCCAGCGCGACAACGCGTGTGGCGTGAGGACAGCGGCTCGGAAGCTGGTCTCTCGACAGGTCTCGGAGTGCTGCGTGAGTAGTCTGTGCGAATGCCACCTCCTCATCCATCATCCGCTCCGCCTCGAGCAGCTGCTCCCAGATCCCAAAGGGAAGCAAGCCGCGGTTGAAGAGGCGCACCATGCGCGGGTGGTCGCGCTCAAGCTGCTCTATCAGCGGTATGTCCGCCATCGCGCGCTTGAGCAGCGCGAGCGGCAGCGTGCGCTTGTCTGGCGGCTTGGACTCGCGCAGCTCGTCATAGTCGTCGATCTCAATGGGGAGCTCGAAGTTGTACTGCTTGTCATCGAGCGCCTCGTAAACCTCCGGATTCTCGAGCACCTGACGCGGGAGCCGCAGACGCCGGTGAGCGCCGGAGAACCGCCGCGCAGGCTCGCAGGAGGCCGTGTCTGCGTGCTCAGCAGAACGCCGCACAAGGCAGAGCAGCAGTGTCTGCGTGCAAGCGGCCCGCCACGATGCGTCGGCAGCGCCTCGCGCGACCGACGCGCTGTGAGGGACAGCGCGGGGCGCGCCAAACGGACTGCTCCTGATGCTGCCAGCAGGCGGCAAGGCGCAGCGAGCGCGCAGCAGAGAGTGGGTCGCGTGCAGGTGCTGAGCGAGGCGTTCTGGGCGCCGGGTGTGCTGCGCGGTGGAGGCCGCTCCTGCTTCTCTTGCCGCTTGTCCACCACTAGGAAGA